GTTGTGGTGCTCATGGTTATTCTATTCTTATCGTAAGTTAAATTATAATATAAAAAAATATATATATATATTGGAAATATTAAAAAATAAATATAAATAAATGATTAGTTGACTTGCAAAATGGACAATAGATATATATATATTTTTTTTTAATAAAAAAATAGACTGGGACATGCGGTAAAGAATCACATTCAGTGTTGTTTGATGCCGGACCATATGGACAGATTTTTATAGACAATTCACATAAATTAGGAATTGATTATTCAAAAATCGAAACTGTGGTAATGTTATTTTTTATATGTTGCGATATAACTTTTTTATTAATAGCATTTATTAAGTTAAAATTAAAAATTTTAAAGGTATTGAGTCATTGGCATTGCGGTAAGCGTAAGAATAAAAAAAAATTTTTGTTTGCTAACGCATACATTCTTACGTGACGTCAATTTCGTTAGACCATTCGGATGGATTACCAAGGGCGATTGAAGCAATAAGTGAAGCGAGACGCGGTCACTCTTCAAAATTAATTATTGATTTACCGAAAGATAGACCATTTCGTCGAGGAATGAGACTTCCCAAGAGTGATAACGTAATGGTTATTAATAATCCCACATTTGAAGAACTTGAAAAAGCTGGCGGTGAGTTAGTTAAATCTAGTGAACCTCATACAATATGCTCAAATTTCTTTTATGTGAGTGGAAGAATATCTCGACAAACTACGTATGAGACAGGAATCAAGAATCATGTAGCATACGATGAAACATTATCAACATGGAAGGAGGACCCGTTAATTAATGAAGAAAGATTTTTAACAGCAAGAATTAAAAATAAAGGATTAATTGTGTTTTCAGGTTGTAGTCATGCAGGAATAATTAATACTTTATTACAAGCTCAAAATCCACTTTCTAGTAAACAACAAGAAAAATATCCGATTTATTTGGTCATGGGAGGATTTCACCTAGCTGGTTATGATCAAGAAAGTAAAATTAAAGAAACAGTAAGAGATTTAAAAGCATTAATTAATCCCGCTTATTTGGCTCCGGGTCATTGTTCTGGATGGAGGTGCAATGCTGCTTTAGAACATCAATTGCACGAAGGTGAAGCCGCTTTTGCTGGAAGAGTTGCGCCGTCTGCTGTTGGAAAAATTTATAATATTTCTTATAAATAATAAATATTTACAGTAAATTAAGTAAATTATTTATTCGTGTAAACGATAATAAAAATCTATTTATAACATCTATAAATATTTATTTGGTATCACCTTATTTAATTTTAATTTTTAAGGTAATATTTTTAAACACGACATGGAGTTCCTTCAGTATCACACAGGTTCATTCATCCAATATCAAAGATTATATTATTATATACTGTATTTACATATCTATATATTACTTCTCTGTTGTGCTAGAATTTTTTTTTTTCATTTACAAATTCAGTTCGGATTTGATTTTCAAATGTAGGATCAAAAAGGATTCATTCATGTATTTATTAAGTAATTTGATTATTGAACCAAACTTTCAAAAAAAAAAAAAAAAAAAAAAAAAAAATATTGTAATAGATCATTCAAATAAATTCCGCATTTATTTTGATAATAAACACCGATCTCGTGACTAATTAAAACGGCAATGACGTAACGTGGATTCACTAAAAAAAGATGATATTTAAAAATATTTAAAATTAGCCAATTCAAGTTTATCACTTGATATAAAAATTTCTATAGGATTTTATATACATAAATATTATAATTCAAACTAACTCTTTCTCTATAACTAACCCTTTTTTTTCTTTTAAAACCTCCGAGAGTTCTTCTGTGAAGGAAAGTCGGTATTATTAAATACAATGACAAGTCCGGTAACAATCTCTCGAACTTTCAATATGTCAGCAACATCACCCATTGATTTGACGAGTTCACCGGTGTCTGTTAGAAGAACTCATTCAGTAGCACCAGATGAAGTTGTAATAATAAGTGACAATGAAGACGAGCCTTCACATAATTGTAATTATCATGATTACAATAGAACAACACATAGTTTCGATAACCAAAATCTTTTCCATTCTCCAACAACCTCAAGACATTCTAATAACAATCAAGCTTCTACAATCAACAATGCAAACTATAATCTTAGAAATGGATTAACAGGACTCGGTACACATGGTACACATTCTTCCAATGGGGGTGGCGGTCCTATTAGGAATACTTCAACACGTTCTAGTCGAGCACATAGTAGACCACCTTCAACTTTAAGAGGTAGTTTATATATTTAAATTTTTAATAGTTATTAAGATCTGATTTACTAATTTTTTTTTTTAAAAAAAAAAAAAAAAAAAAAAATTATATATCCTTTAGGCTTATTTATAGTGAGCGCTCAGTCTAATAGTCATACCCTTCGACATCGACAGCATCATCATACTTCACATACTTCAGCATTTCATCCATATGCTTCAATAATTATGGATGGTATAAATTATGAGGGCAGTAATTCTTCAGGATCTTCCAGACTTCCTACGGTACCACCTTTCTTTGAAGCTAGTACAAATTTAAACTCTAATGAGATCCAAATACTCACCACACCACCACCTCCACCACCATCATCATCAACGTCACGTAAGAGAGCAAATAATTCTCCTAAACCAACAATAACGACAGCGGGCCATACAAGAGATCTGGAAGAGTCTCATATATTAATTTGTGCTGGTTGTAATAATTTACTTCATGAAAAATTATGGGCTTTAAATGGTTGTGGGCATGTAGTATGTGGTTCTTGCGTTGATAAATTTTCGGGAAAAAAAAAAATTGCCTGTCCAAGTTGTAAAAAAAAACCAACATCTACGCTACAATTATATGTGTAATACGATTTTTCTTTGAATTATCGGAAAATCAACTTGAATTATGCAAATATCTTCTTCTCTATTTCTTCACCATTTTTACGTGGACTTCATATAATCTTTCTTTCGGTGTTTCTAATTCTTTTTTGTTAGTCCTCATTTTTTTTTTTTAAAAAAAAAAGACAGGTTGATGATTTTGTAATTTAGATAATTTTTTTATTAGGTTATTTAACTTGAGAAGAAAAAAAGGAATTGAATTATTTAGTGGGATTGATGTAGTAAAGAGAAGATATTATTTGTAGATATGAAAATTTTTAATTAAGAAAGTTAACAATAACAAAAATTAATAATAATTTATAGAATTTTTTTGTTTATTTCAAAGGAAAAAAAAAAAAAACATTTTCACAAAAGTTTCAAATATGTATAATTTCATTATTTTCATTTATTCACATGTACAAGCAAAGGAAATGTTTTCAAAGTATAGAATGATTAAAATAAGATTTAACAAATGATATTATTATTTAAGATATAAAAAGAGTCATTGAAGGGAAAAACTTTATAAGAAATGTTGGTTATTTATTGTTTCCCTTTTAAATTTTATAATCACTTTCTTGTTTTACCTTATTCTTTTGATCTGATGTGAGGGAATTGTTTGTATTTTCTTTATTATTGTTGTCCTGAATTATTTCATCTTTTGAATGTTGAATTTCTGTAGAATCTGTTGACATTTCCTTTGGTAAACCTTTAGGCGTAACTAATTGATTCTCAGAAGTATTGTTTTCCTTTTTAAATTCTCCGCTATCTTTATTTAACTCAGCATCAATTATCATCTCAGCATCTTCTTTAGGTGCGTTTTTTACTGATTCGGATGATTCATCTGTTTCCATCGTTTCATCTCCACCAGGTATAGCTGTAATAACTTCAGGTGGCATTTGACTAGACTCATGGTGTTGTTGTGTGCTAGTTACTGTTTCAACTGTATTCATCTCATCTTTCTCATCTTTGTAATTCGCACCAGATGATTGATTGTCCTCTCGATTTGTTATAGCTTCAGTGCCTTGTTCGAGAGTTACTAGACCAGAATCTTGGGTTTGTATGTTCATTCCTGTTTCAAGCGACTCGTAAGCTACTTCCATCTTACTTTCATTATTCGCAACAGATTCGTCCTTTTCGTTTGTTATGACCGTATTTCCTTTTTCATGTGTTACTTGACTAGGCTGCTCCTCTGTTTTTGTGTTTACTCCTGTTTCGGGTGATTCATTACTCATTTCCATCGCATCGCCTTCATTATTCGCAACGGATTGTTCGTCCCCTTTGTTTGTTTCATGTGGTATTTTGCTAGGTTCATGGGTATGTATGCTTACTGTTACTTCATAAGATTTTTCAGCTACCTTTTCACTCTCATTATTCGAAACAGATTCTCTCGTCTCGTCATAAATCGCTTTATCCAATCGTCCTTGCAAAAATTCGAAAACGGGTTCAATGGCTGTACCAGAAGTATATTCATGTTTTGAATGGCCTTTATTATAATTTAGGTAGATGAGTAATGATGATAATGAATCCATAATAATTAGAAGAAAAAATAAATTCCTCACCAGCTGATGTACATCTACATCCATAAAATCGGGATGCTTCTTCTGGCACAGGATCATTTAATGGCAAAGAGGATTTAATCCAATTTACGGTACAACCACGGAACCAACGGTCAGAATGTTTTGGTACCATTCCGGAGCTATGCACGCTATCAGTAAGTGCAATTCCTTTAACACGTGATTTAAATTCATCAGCTAATAAGAGGAAAAATTTTTTTTTTTTTTTAATAATGTCTTCATTAAAAGTAATTCAATGTTTTTTTTTTTTTTAGATTGATGATGCGCTTACCTAAATGGTCTATCATAGCAGTAGTGCAAATACCACCAAAACTATGCGCCACAAGTAGAATCCTTTTCGCTTTCGCCTTTCTGTTAAGAGAGTTAATTCTAGAGTGCGAAAAAATTTCTTTGTTTAAAAAAAAAGAAGATTCTTACCTTACAAACCTCTCCCATACGTATATACAATGATTTTGTGGCGATTCCGAACCATTTATTTCTCTGAAGCCACATTCCTTGAAAATAATGAATAAACAGATATAATATTATAAGAATTAATTAAAAACATGAAAAAAAACAAAAAAAAAAAAAAAATCCGCACTATTCCATCTTTGTTGATGCGTCCATAATTTTCATTGGGATTAAATATAATAATTCCCCAATTTAATTCTTGGGCCTTTTTAATATAAGGGAACATGGATCCATGCTACATTCAACATCCAAAATTGAAAATTGAGAAATAAATATTAGATAAATTAACAGAGTGCTTCAAAGAATTTCAGAATACAGGGTTTTCAACCTCAAGAGAATCGTTAATGATCACTATGATTAAATGATTGATCAATTAATAATAAATCAATTAATTAATGCAAATCAAGAATTAACGCGTTTTGCTAATTAATGATAATCTATAAAATCTAAAGAAACCTTGACGTGCCCATTGTCCAGGTCGCACTACTCCACTTCCTTGAATTAGCAAAAGCAAAGTTTGACAATCTAGGGCATCTCCACTACATGAAAGAGATTTAAAATCAGGAATCGTAATTTCAGCCCCTTTTTTTTTTTTATCTTTCTTTATTTCGTAGGTACCTGCGATAAATTCGACTTTTTGGAAATCCATTTTCATCCGGTTCCACCGGAATCGGTTCTTTGATGAGGTTAAATCTCTCCACTAATTGTTCTTCAATATATACACCAATTACCTCTTTACGATATAAATGAACATAAATTTAATAAAGTCTTAAAATATATAAAATAAAAAATGATTATTCTGACATTATTAAATTAAAATGAATAAATAAATGATTTTTAGTACCACCCAATGCCTCATAGTGTCTTTGGTTATAAGAACGATCTTCGGGTTTAACAACGAACAAAAATCTTTCTTCTAATTAAAATTTAACGCCAAAAAAAAAAAAATTAGTTTTTTTTTTTTTATATATATATATATTGACAATTCTTAAGCATATATCCTCTAAGCATACTCGTTTCAATATTTCTTAATTCTCCGTTTTCATTAAATTTGTATCCATACTCTTCGATTTTTTCTGGAAAAACCTCTCTTTCTGTATATGACTCCATGACCAAACACTTTCAAAAACGTTGATAAACACGTAAAGAGAAAATCTGGAACGTCAAAGAAGAATTTAAATAGAAAAATGCCAGGAGTTTTTTCAAGTTAGAAACTCCGATATGATACGCAATATGAAAAAACTCCGGATAACATTCGACTAACTGGCCGGTTACTCTGAAAAATTGGCATTCAAAGAAACTTTTAATTCATGTAAAATAAAATTACTGCATTATAAAATTATATTATACTTTTACAATAAAAAAAATTTTTTGTTATATATGCATAAGGGCATAAGCAATACAAAATGAATTTAAATTTTTTTTTTTTTTTTTTTTTTTTTTTTAGAATGTTTACTATTTAATCGGAAACTGGAATTTCCTCATAATCTTCCCATTCGTGATTACCAAGAAGATCTTCCAAGGAATCGGACACTACTTCAGTCTGACTAAAAATCTTTTCAAAGAATTTAACAGCTTCTTCCGACTTCTTGTATGATATGCGATGGGACACTTGCTTTGAATTCTCTTCTTCCACGGCTCTTCTGAATCGTAATCGAATATTTTCTGATGCCAAACGCATTTTCTTGCGACCTTGTCTTACAATGCGATTTGCTTGGGAATTCACGTAGTCCGAACGTTTTAAATAACAACGAATTTTACGAGCAACTTTACGGGAAATCACCCGCTTGGTGTCATAGAGTACATAGGTAGTAATACCGATCCCTGTAAAATCATATTAAAATAAATATATTAAAAAAAGAATATGTAAAAGTCAATATCAAAGTAAAATACACAACCAGCTAGTCCGACTAATGGCAGAAGCAATCTTCGCATGTTATTAAAGCCTAAGAAGTAAGTTACATCCCACAAAAATGAAAGGCCATTCAACTTTGTTGCGGTACACATAACAGCTGCACCAGTTAGACCTACAATACTCAATTCTTCACTAAACCTATCGTTCAAATTAAAATCAAAGAAGTCGGAAATCTCTATATTAATCGAGATGGGCGTGCCACGCTTAGCATACATTTTATCGAGATTAATGTGCTTGTCCTCCCCTCTCAAATCTCTTCCAAGATCTTGGATTAAATCAATACATTTGGCAGTCTGTTTTTTAGCATTTTCTTCCGAAGCTAAAACTTCTCTATAAATCTCATCCAACATAGAATCACGAAGGTCGTTCGCATAACTCCAGATATAAACTAATCCATGATATTCGCATGAAGTAAATTGATCAACGTTTTCGATGGCTCTTTCCAAAGATCTTCTAGTAAAGTCTCCTATTTCCTCACAGGTACGATTTTCTGCTTCATCAGCGGTTGCGGCAGCTGCCTTTTCATCAGCAACCAACTTATTCAGAGTGCGCTCTGCTTCCTCAAGCTCTATACCTGCCTTATAATTTTCTCGTTGGGCAATATTCTTGTTAAACTCGACCAATACACCAATGTCGGTTACCAAATTGTCAAGGTAATGTTGAGCAGGTGCGAGTTTCGATTTTGATCGTTTTTTCAATACAAAGGTACGTAATGACTCTTCGAGACGGGCAAAGTCTTCAATACTCTTTATATCATTGACATTTTGATCGATAGCGCTGGAAAGACGAGACGAATGATTAACATCATCATCTTTTTCAACCTTTATGGCCGTAGATGTAACGAAATGAACCAAATCTTCTGCGTGTTCATGAGTACGTGGAGAAACCTCTTTGATTTGTTCCAAAATCGCTCGTCTACATTTTTCTTGCATTCTAATGTTGTCAAACCTATTAACGACTATGAAAAGGTAAGCTTTCTCCTTGGAAGCGTTAGACAAAAATTCTTTAGCAGACAAGGTGAAATGATTTTCGGCGCTAACGACGAAAATGATAACGTCAATCTCTTCTTGTCTAGCAAATAATGCCGTGGTTTTGAGAGTATCCCTATTCAAACCAGGACAATCAATCAATGCGATATCGATGATTCCATTATGCAATAAACTTTCTTGAGCGTTTCGACGATCCTTTGTGTATACTTTTAATTGAGCGTACTCTCCTGATTCTTCATTATTAACAATCGTATCATACAAATCATTCCATTCAATAACCGTAAAAGTTGATGCGTCCGTTCTTTTGTATGAAGTAAAGTCTTTGATAGCGTGGATTTCTTCAGCACCATCATTTTCCTGAACATCAAGTACTTCGCAGAATAAAGTTGTACATGGTTGTTGGTCAACTGGCATCACCTCTCTCTTCAGGAGGGCATTTACGAATGTACTTTTTCCGGCGTTTACGTCACCCGCAACCAAAACTTTAGAGCTGGTGTCGGAAACTCTTGCATGAAGATTTTCACATCGTTTAATAATATTAGCGAAGCAACCATCTAATAAAGTGGCAATTGCGTCTTTTTTCAGATCTCCAAAGACAGTCTCGGCAGAAGACGTATCCCCTTTTTTCAAATCAAGCTTGAGAACATTTAATTTTGAATTAAAATCTTGAGATGTTGACATGTCAGATTGAAACTGCAATCGATCAGTAACCTTTTGCTTAAATTTGCTCATTTGAGTTTTGTTACTAACAATCCTGAGACCTTTATCATCATAGATTGGACTTTGCAATTCTGGCATTTGAGAAACAAAAGGATAGTGCAAATCCCATCGTTGTTTGTTAGTTTCACGAACTTGTTTAAGGATCGAACAAGAATCGCTCAAAAGACCCATAAGCTTCTTGGATTTTTGCGCAAAAGCTTGGTTACACTTAAACATGCCATTATGTATGTTTGAGTTCTTGGGTTCGGTTGAAGGTGAGGAGGGAACAGAAGATGTATTTGTCTTTATGTTACCACGAAAAGACTGTAAATTTGACAAACCATTTTCTGAAGGTTTTGAGGACTTTTGTTTATTTTTTGAAAATGAAGCGCTCATAAATGACGAAGACATTCTAAGAATTTGAGTATATCTTTACTATTTAATAAATATAAGTCTTTTAATTCATCGGTAGCGTTTACAAAAATACGAGCTAACGAGAAGAAAAAAAATTATGGAGATTATTATTGATTGTTTTTCAAATCACGTGTTTATTACCAAAACGAGACATTCGCGCGGATTTTACCTGCTTTTATACGAGTTTTAATTAATCAATATAAAAATTAAATGTGGGCTTTATTAGACTTGATTTAGAAGATCATTCTAAAAGATCGGCACGGGTGAAGCCGCATGATTTAATGCGGATCAATCTTGATCTCTAAAACGTTTCGAAAAAATCATTTAATAAAAAAATATATGGCTTACGATCAAATTTTAATAATAACTGGGAGAGAACGACCAAATCATGATAAAGTAATAAAATTATAAAACAATCTCATTTCAAATGTAAATAAACCTTTTATTCGTAATATTGTACAACTATTGTTGTTGCTTCCCTCGCATTTTGTCTGCAACTAATTCCCTAAAATCGGAAATAATCTTATTTTCTTTCTTGGCCTTTTCCTCTTGATTAAATAACATTACCGCTCGTTTCTCTTCTGCGGATATAACTTGATTTTCTTTACGAATACGAACAGCATTCATGCGCCTATGACGACTACCGCTCATAACATAACCAACGTCCTCAAATGATTGAATTTCGTTACTTGTTAACCCAATTTCACCACGACGTGGTATACGTTTTCCTTCTTGAACATACGCTGCCATAGCCGAACCTTCCCCTGCAAGCAATGCTCCACCATAATCTCTCTCTCCTAGTTTTGGTTCATTGACAGGCACAGGTAAAGGTCCTACTATTGAATCTTCCTGCTGTTGTTCTGACCTTTTTTCCACAATTTGTTCAATCTCGTTATCGATATATGGAACCTCTTTAATATCTGGAGATCCTTGATCTTTAACTGAACTTTCTTCATGATCAGTTTCACTGTCGCTTGAAGGACTGCTATGTCGGTGTTTCTTTTGTTTTCTGTGTCGCTTTGAACTTTTTTTATGTTTTGATGAACGATGTTCCGATTTAGATTCAGATTTTTTATGTTTTTTCGATTTAGATCTTTTCTTCATATCTTCACTATCCGATTCACTAGTTGCATAGCGAGATCTTTTTTTATACCGTTCCACTGAATTTATTGACTCATGCTCAGGTGAGGAAGGCCATATTGAATAAACAATTTCTTGCCTACGACGTTTTCTTTCGAGAAAAAAATCTTTATCGGGAACTCTTCCTGCAAAATCACGCCGTCTACTCATCTTTGAACAAGTCAAGTTTGAAAGGTTACTACTTGTTAAAATATGTTAAAATGTTAATCACGTGTATCATGTGTATATATATTATAAAATGTTACGCTGTAACCCTAAAATAGCTAGTATGATGAATTGTCAGGCCAAATATTCACCAAATTATTATCGAATATACCACAATGAATTCAACGACGAATCTTGAGGAACAATATTATGACGATTTATACTTCGATTCAGATACAGCAGACGAAGAGACGGAGAATTCAACTAAAGGTGATAATTATAATTCTTGGCAATTATGACGCGTATCAACTTCTTTTCTGATCAAGTAAATTACGATATATATATATATATATATATTTTATATAGATTCAAAAAAACTTTTGAAACATGAACAAAGAAAAAAATTGACGAATGAAGAACTTTTTTATGATGAGAAATTAGATGATGATTATGAACTTTGGATGGAAAAAAAATTGTCTCGTATGTGTTCACTTTTATTTTATTTTTTTTATTTTTTTAAAAAAAAAAAAGTGTACTCATTAGTTTTCATGTTCATATAGAGCATGGATCAGATGCTATCTTGTCTTGTCCTCTATGCTTTACTCCATTGAGTTATCACACACAAAAGTAAACGAACAAAAGTTTCCGTTTTGAAGTTGCCTTATTCTTTTTCAATCAACTAATCATAAAATTTCAACTATTAAAGACATGAACTTTATTCCAATCAATATCGAGCAATTTTCGTGGAAAATTGTAAGATCATTAAAACAGAGAAATTGTTATATGATGAAAGTAAACGAAAAAATAAAAGGCGTCAAAATGAAGATGAATCATCGAATGGATCAAACGCAAAGCAAGAATCTTATTATCCCGTCGAATGTAAAACTTGTGGTACCAAAGTTGCTGTAATGGATGAAGATGAAGTTTTTCATTTTTTTAATGCGATTCCTTCATAATAAAGGCTTTAATCTCTTCGGAGTAATTTATCATGTGTTTTATGTACATAACGGGATTATGTTTTTTAAGAATTTCGATCAAAATTTTTGAAGAGATGAAATTTAATGATACATCTTTTTAGTCTGATGAATTTGTTTGTTCTGTGTACTTCAAAAAAATCCTCAATAAATTTTAACCATTCAACAGACATACAATCACCGCATCGTCAAAGTCTTGACATTAGAATTTAGTTTTTTTTAGTGAAAAAGTAAATGCCTTTCCTATTTCTAAATAATTTTAAAAATGATGATAAATGCAATCCATGATTTATTAACAAAAATTCGTTTTTGGTTTAATAAAATAAACCAATAAAGAGAATAAATTTTAATATCATATGTTGTATTAATTAAAAGAAAGCAAAAAGGTATAACAAAAAAAAAGACATAGCAAAAGACTATTATATAAAAATTAAATATGCTACAATGATTACTTAACGATAATAAAAAAATAAATAAATAAATATACAGTTTGAAATGTATTTTTTCTAGATAAATTTTACCAATCTAATTTCTTATCACCACATCCAACGTCAGCACATCCATCATTTATTTTACCCAAAATTTCTATTCTGGCTTTAGCTGATCGTTGCAAGAATCTGCTCTTTTCATGAGTACCATTCTTGGTAACCTTCCATTTACTTGTTCCAAGTATTCTATCAAGTTCTTGAACTGGTGGAAGATTTAACCAAACGAAATCATCAAGGATCTTGACTTCAAAAGTCATAAGCTTAAGTTCTACATCGCCGGATATACATTCGCCTGTATCCAACGAAAAGTTTTTCTTGTGCATTGGGCAGCTCACTTTTAAGATTCCATTTTCATCGTCACCCACCAACCCTTGAGATAATACGAATGCGCGCTTGTGTGGACACATATTTTGCGTTGCGTACCACCTTGTACGCCCATGTGTATTAAATATTGCGATCTGAGTGTCTCCATATTTTATGACTTGACCTGCTTCTATTGGGAAGGAGCTTGTAAGAGCGATTTTAACCCAAGACTTATCAGTAAGTGATTTGTTGTCGGGAACCACAAGATCATCGTCGAATTTTTTGGGCCAATCTGCAGGTCGTTGCTGACCACGTTCTGTTATGTATTCAATTCCATCGATCGTTTCATCTGTATTTACAAATTGAACAAAGTCCTCACGTCTTTTTGGGTCGTTAACCACCCTAGTCCACTTTTTGAATTCAAATTAAATAAAATGAGATTAAATCATCAAGTATTTATACGATAAATTTTACGTACAACGTTGAATAATTAGTTAAAAATTATGATTCTTACCTCACATTCATAAGTGTAAATCAAACGAGCCATATCTTCTTCTAATTCAGCACATATGCCGAGATAATCATCAATGACAATTTTTTTAAGGTACTAAAAAAAGAAAAATGGAAAGGTGCGTAAATAACGAATAAAATATTATTACAAAGACAACACATATGCTTATGAACTTACTTCAATTCCACCATCCATTTTTTCTAACCATCTGGCCGTACGCGTCAATCTATCTGCCGTGTGAATATAATACATCAAAAATCGATCTATATACTTAATTGCGGTTTCTTCCGAGACATCCCTCGCCAATAATACGGCATGTTTTGGTTTGGCACCACCATTTCCACAGACATAAAGGTTATAACCATTTTCTGTCGCGATAAGACCAAAATCTTTTCCTTGGGCCTAAAAACGGTAAAAAAAATTTTAGTTTAAAAAAAAAGGGACAGGAATTTGATTACGAAAAAGAACAAAAGTCCCGTGACTCACCTCAGCGCACTCCCTAAGACAGCCTGAAATTAACAAGATGAATGGTTAAATCCAATAATGTACCAAACGTCCGAAGAAAAAAGTTTTTGACAACTTACCCGATACTGCTGCTTTTATCTTATGTGGTGCTCTTATTCCTTTATATCGATCCTCAATAGCAATTGCAAATCCAACAGCGTCATTCATACCATATCTGTTTTTGTGAAATATAAAAAAAAAAAAAAAAGTTAGGCTATTGAATTAACTTATAACATTAAAAATCATGATAATAATACTTGCCGGCACCATTCGCTTCCCACACTAATAAAATGCGTGATAATTTTTTAGTATAAATTATATAAACGAAAACAGGGGTATGATAATTTTAATAACTTACCATGATTTTACGGTTCTCAGGGCTTTTCCATAAGCATGACCGGATTCAAAACCGGCGTTAACAAGCTCTTCCCAAATAGCAGGTAAATCTTGTTTTTTAGCACCGAAAAGGTCAATTCTTTGACCACCTGTAATCTTGGTGTATAACCCATATTTTTTGGCAACTTGACCAAGCACAACAAGTTTTTCTGGCATAATTTCACCTCCAGGTACTCTAGGGACAATAGAATATAATCCACCACGTTGGATGTTAGCAAGGTAACGATCATTGGTGTCTTGTAAATTGGCATGGTTAAGAATATGATCGTTCCATAAACTGGCCAAAATTGACGCGACGGCTGGTTTACAAATTTCGCATCCATGAGTTCCTTTTTTGCCAACCTTTTCGATGACGTCTTTAAAAGTGGTCAACTTCTTTATCTTGACGACTTGGAATAGTTCCGCACGAGTTAGGCTGAAATGAGGACAAAGCGCATTCGTCACCACATGACCTAATGCCTTCATTTCGACTTCAAATATTTCTGTAACGGCCGGAAGACATCCACCGCAACCCGTACCAGCCTTAGTACATGATTTAATTTGACCAACGGAACGACATTCATCGTTCTGAATTGCTTCTCGAATTTGACCTTTTGATACATTATTACACGAACTTATAAAGGTTATAGATTTAAAAAATATATATATATATATATTAAAAATTAAAATCAAGTTATAAACAATTTCACTCATAACTTCAATCGAAAGCTTACCAAATTTGAGCCTCATCAGGAAGGTCATCTGCACCTGGAGCTAGTCCAGATTGAACACCAAGGATAAGTTCACCAGGAGGGGCAGTTAAGACTTTCTTTGATTTCATGAGGGCGTGAAGTTTGGCGTAATCGTCAGTGTCACCGACCATGATACCACCAATCAAGTACTTTCCATCCTTTGAGAATAAAAGTTTTTTGTACACCGAACCAAAGGGGTCGTTATACACAAGAGGCATTGCCACATCTTCTTTGGCAAAATAATCACCAAAACTAGCGACATGAACTCCCAAAAGTTTAAGTTTACTTGACAAATCACCTCCCAAGAACTTTTTATCGGCATTTGTGGCCAAGTTATTTGCAACAACATCAGCCATATCATAACCGGGCACGACAAGTCCATAAATCATACCGCCATACAACGCCACTTCACCTATTGCGTAAACGTTAGGATCACTCGTTCGTAAGCATTCATCAACAAATACCCCACCGCGTTGGTGAGTTGAAATCCCCGACGCCTTGGCGAGCTCGTCACGTGGACGAATACCCGCAGCAACGATCACCATGTCCAATGGAATTGTTTCATTCTCAAATCGAATTCCCGAAACCTTTCCTTCTTCGTCCGTGGTAATTTCCTTTGGTGGTACACCGAGAATACATTTGATTCCAAGCTTTTCGATTTCTTTTTGAAGCATTTGTCCTCCTACGGTATCCAATTGTCTCGCCATCAATACTGGAGCCATCTCAATGATTGTGACTTCCAAACCCAAATCCATTAGAGCTTTGGCGGCTTCAAGACCAAGTAAACCACCACCGATTACGGCACCACGTTTGGAATTTTTACTATAACTTATGATATCGGTCAAATCTTTAATGGTACGATATACAAATACACCCGGTTTATCCCAACCAGGGATCGGCGGTACAAATGCATAGGATCCCGTGGACAATATACATGTATCGTAAGGCACAGATATTCCACTCGCAGAGATTACACATTTCGTGGTTGTGTCGATTTTGGTCGCCTTTTCGTTTGTGTGAACGATCACATTATTTTCTGAATACCAGCTTACAGGCTGCATCAACATTCGTTCTTCCTCTCGATGAGCAAAATATTGAGTCAACCCGACTCTGTTGTAAGCAACTTTTTATTTTTTAAAAAAAAAAATAAAATAAAAAAAATTAATCATCCAAACCAATTGAAACTCGATTCGATTTAAAAGGAAAAAAAAAAAAAAAAATTTTTTACCTTGAGGTTCTTCACAAAATATTTCTACCCTAAATTGGTTATTTTTGTCATACTTTAATAATTTTTCAACAAATGATAAGCCGACCATACCAAGACCGCAAACTACTACGGTCCGTTTATCGTCAACTTGAGCAACTACTTCATTAGGTGCCATTATATGATTTATTATAAAATTTAAGTAAAGATCAAAAAAAAAACAAAAAAAAAAAAAAAGTGAGGAAAAAAAAAAAAAATTGGCAATTGTGAATAACTTATTTTGTTGTATGACCCAATTTATATAAGGAAAAAAAAAAAAAAAAAAAATTCCACCTAAATAAAATTTGTAATGCGATTTAATTGATAAGAAAGCAAGAAATTGAAAAATGCGTGATAATCTTATCAAGTAATCGGTTAGTTGCTGATAACGAAAAAAAAAGTAAATTTTAATAGAAAGCGAACGGCAAAGAACGGATAAGAACGGATCAGCATATAGACGAAAATTTATTTATGTAGTAAACAAATCTCTTATCTTGGTGTTCCCTGTGATAAGAGTTATCACCAAATGGTTAGCGTATCACCAATTTTTTTTTTAATCAAAATTAATGGAGTAACAGAATGTAAGTGCAGCTGAATGCATAAGATGTGCAGAAAATAATTACATTTTCTTGTTATCTGGAAAAATTTGTCAAAAGATAGCCTAATCATCAGATTTATTCATCTCATGCGGTCTGATTGATTTTAAAAAAATCCAAAGTGCCAATTCAAAAAAAAAACATTGTTGAAGATCAATTTTAGTAAACATAGCAGGGATCCCGTTGATCAAATTTGTTATCTTGATGATGTTATCAAAAAAAAACGTCTTTTTTTGATAAGGAAATTTTTAAAGAATCAATAAGAAATCAATCGATTTCCACTTAGAGTGATTTTTTTTTTTTTTTTTAAAAAATAAATAAACAATCCCAAATAGAATCTTCCTGTTTTCAAATACAACAAAATCATTCAATCCCTTGGAATTATGATCTATTCAAGACAAATATTTGTTGACAAACTTTTATCTATATTATAAATTTTGATCTTTCTTCTATGCACATGTCATACTATCTATATCTCCGAAAAGGGTCGGGGTCAGATTAAGAGTCATCTGTATACAAAATTGTTTCGAATCTTAAAAAATGAGAGATTCTTTTATTAATATACGATAGAATTGATAGGTTCGATGATTTGACATTTTATTTTATATATTCACGTCAAAGTGGATCAATTACGCCAACAAATCCAAAAGCCATAAAGGTTCTTTCTATATTATAAAGCACGTGTAATCTATTTCTATCAGAAAATCTAGATTGCTTAGAGTTTTTAAACAACTACACTAGTTATTAGAAATTTGATGAATTTAACTCATTTGAATAAATTTTTAGTTCAAATAAATGAAGTATGTCCTTATCAATGCCAAGTCCAACATGCTAAATTATGCGTCTGCGAAATGTTAGAACGTTCAAGGCATGTAATTTGGCAGCGATTTGTCTTGGATCTTAAGTAAATTTAATTCGTTGTTCTTTTGGATCTTATCATTAGAAACGAGATATCTTGACAGCCTTATCGATTTTAATTAAAAGCCAACCTATAGGAGTTGTTATTTATGAACTTGGCAAATATACTTGAAAAGTTATGGTGATCTCAAATATGTGTTACAACGCAATGATAAGTTGGCAAAAAGAAGCAAGAGTCGATTCTTCTTTTCCTGAAAGTCCTGCATCGATGAGTATACTCCAGCCCGAACCTTTGCGTCAAAAATATGAATCAAGTCAATTACTAGTATCATTAGTGAGCCTCTGTTGGAGAGTTTTTTAAATGAACTTTAAAACTAATCTAACAATAGAAATAAATATATTGTACAAATTAATCTTTTTTTTCCCGATTAGAGCAGATCGTAATTAAAAAATTTAGCAAACGAATAGTCTGAATCTTCAAAATATACTGGTTCAAATTCTATCGTTAATGAAAGCATTTATTCTTTTGCTTCCTGGAGAGACGGCGCATAATAACTAGTCCTTTTTTATTTATTCTTATCATTTAGTTATAGTATATATCCGATTATTTACAATCGTGGCTAACAATGGCCCTATGTATTTTTGATTTTGTATTTTATAAATTTCATAATAAAAAAAAAATAAGGAAATAAAGAAGATGCTGCAAAATCTAGTTTGTTTGGTTTCTGAATAAAAAGTTATAAATTCGTTCCTTTTTTTAATTTCCTGTATATAAAGATGACTACCCAACATAGGTTAAAAATTTATAAAGGACCCCCTACTTTATATGTATAAATAATGGTGAAATCAATTGTGACCACTATGTAATATACTCGGAGTGTTTTACAAGTGATTTGTAAAATACCCGGGGTGTTTAGTCAGTGCTACATGCGCTTAGCACGAAAAGATTTATCGATGCTATGAAAAGCACGCCTAGAATCGATCAAATGAAGACGTGAAAGAATTGATGAGAATTATAAGATTTTCAATTTGGAGAATGAAGAACTTTCTCGCAAGGTAATATTAAATCTAAAATACTTAATTATCAAAGGCTTCGTGATCCAGATTTGTTGAAGGAGAGACAACAAAATGGTAATAATGTAATCAATTCATCAAGCAGTTATACAGCTATTGATATACAAAATAGATAAACATGTCAATACATCAGATGAGGAAATGGAAGTGTTCGTTGAATTTGAGTTCAATATCTATAAAAGTTCCGGTTTTAGTGAGACAAAGTCAAATAATATTCGGTAATTACTTATAATAATACTTTTTGAATTTAAATGTATTTAGTATTTATAAATATTTCCAAAATTGTTCTTGAAAAGGTCATACATTAATATAGTCCAATCATTTTTTTTTCTTCGTGGAAATTATCAGATAAGCGTGTTTACAGTATTTTAATGGTATTTCTCCAGAACTTTCTCGATTTGGACTGAATTTATGCAATAAGGTTCTAAAGAAAAAGGCCAAGTGTTTCAGAAGCGCTTGAACAGGCAAAAGAAAGGTGAACTGGTGTTTTTGTTTGTTTGTTCTACAATATTAAAAACTTTAAAAATTTCGGTGGCTTAAAAAAAAAGAGAAAAGAACACGTGTTTAAGTTACATCTAAACTCAATTGACAAAAAATATAAAAATATTTGACAAAAAATATTTGTAAATGAATAATCGGTTCGCTTAAAAAATAAACCATTATCACTGAAAATTTTTATTTGTTTTTTTTTTATGTATGACAAAAATATAATATGGACATATTTACCACCTTTACAGATTTCTTGCTTTTATTACATAACTTTAATTTTGGAATCTATTAATACATCTAAATTTCAGACCGGATTTTGTTCTTGATAGTTTTGTCATCACGATGACATCTGGCGAAATTTTTACTAGCTCATGACTATTGACAACTATGACCTAGTTGTTCTTATAATCCAAAAATCATTGCTAAACAATAATTATAAAATTCATTGATGTTCCCCGGTCGACTGGATAGTCAATAAAAAAAACTTTCTCATTTATTATATAAAATACTTTAACGTTAACGTTAATATCTGATTTTAAAATATTTTTCGTAACATGATTTAAAGCTTGCAAATATTTTATACGATACGTTTGCTGTTATAATCATTCTTATGGTAAATTTAGATCACGTGTACGATCGACAACTGCGTCATTTATTTCGCGATTTGAATTTGATTGGCTAAAATGTTGTTTACATGTGTATTCATTTTTTTTTGACTATTTATTCAATGGTTTTGTTTTTTTTTTTTGTTTTTTTTTTTCTTTCTTTTCTTCTTTGCTAATCTAAGCTTACTAGAGCGTAAACTTAAAGCGATGCCTCGATTTTACTATCCCTGCAAAATTCTTGACCGTATATTCGCTGTCTAGTTGCTTTGCTTAACTGGGCGTTTATACCTTTACACATTCGTGTGTATTGCTCCCCTGCTGTGAAGGGAGAAATGTATTTCGCAGTACGTTCCTTCTTGAAGTTTTCCTTTCGAATTTTATTCGGTTCCCTTTTCTTTAGAAGGAAGTATTGATAAAGTGAATAAACTGGTTTAAGACAATGATTCCATATCAAAAATCATTTCCCATTATTTTATGGCTTTTCTTTTGGTATAAGAAAATGCTTCGTGTTACGCGAAATTTGGTTTTTGCCTTGGAAAAAAAGTTTGGGTGTTCTTATGTCTTTCCCGGCAGGCAGGGTTTCCAATAATGAAACTATTAAATAGTTGAATTGGTTATGATAATAACGAATGTCTTGGCTTTGGATCCCATCAAAATACCAAATTTTGATTAAATGATGACATTGTTCTGATAATCTACTCTTATCCTGAACGAACCTTGCCACCTCTACGCGATGTTTGGGAGAAACGGTTATGCGTTAAACCATATCTGGCCAAGTGCAAGCATTTTTTTAATTAAAAACAAACGATATAATGAAAGAAATTTTTTTTTTTTTACTTGATTTTTGTAATACAATATGTACAATCCTATAATACTTATGTAAATAAACGAATATAATGATCGGAATAATATATAGCCTGTTATTCCATACTTCGTTAACGGTTATTCAGAGATAATATGAAAATCACATGCGCTTACGCGCATGTGACTTTTATATCTAGTTCTAATTTTACCAATAATTTTTAAAGCTTTGATGTTTATTCTATTTATTTAAAGTTTGATTTTATTATCTATATAATTGATTGCGAATTAATCATTCTTTTTTAAAAAAATTATTCACTTGAATTGTTTCAAAAAGGGGTTTTTTTTTTTTTTAAAAAAAAATATTTTTTTATTATGATTCTCAAATTTTTTTTTTTTTTTAAAGAAACTAAAAATACAAAATAAATATGATAATTATATACGAAAAGGAAAAAAAACCATTATATCACCACAATAAAATAAAAAAGATTATTTCATCAAATTCTAAAATAAATATTCTATCAAAATTAGATGCACTATTTATTATCATTCTTCACCCAGTTATTGAGCTTTCTTTTTTTTTTTTCGGTACTTAAAAATATGAAACAGCAAAGTTAATAAATACTGTAGTTAATGATAAACATCTTAGTAATTTCCAAGAACTACCTTTGAAATTAAACAATAAACTTGCATGAGAGTAAATTTATATTAACGGTAATAATTCACAAATGATATTTTCATTTCTTTTTCTATGATGACTAAAAAAAGAACAAATATTCATTGTATAACTAATTTGGTGCAAAGTCTAAAACAAGCGAACTTTAAATGAAATTTTTTAATAGAGTAAAGAATAAATTTCTTCTCTTTTGAATAATTTGAACTAATAATTATGGGGAATATTAAATGATATAAACAATAAGATTTTTTTTTTTTTTTTTTTTCATAAGATTTCGTTAAAAATGTTAAAAATGTATGTATGTAAAGTCGTAAAGTCGTTAAGTCGTTAAATCATAAAATGTGTTGAGGTTAATCATTAATTTGTTCATTAAAGATTTCTTTGGATCAATTCAGAAAGAATATAAACAAAGTAGATAATTTCGATCCAAGAAAAAAAGAAAAACAGAAAAAAAAATTGCAAGGATTATTTAAAAAGACATAATATATTACAAGAAAGGTGATTTTAAGCTTAGAATACGAGAAAGGTGGTCCTTTCTAATACCAAATTGGATTTTCATAACCAACTTAGTAACGCCATCGCGTCACCGTGAAAATTTGATTATTTATGCTAATTAATGACAAATAAGCGGAAAAGAAATATAGGAGATAATGAGTTATATGCAAGGGGGAAAATATGTAAAGTGACAAAATGAATTTTAAAATTACAAAGATATATGAAAAATTTAAAATGCAAAATGTAAATATGTTGTGAAGGAAAAAAAAAATGCGATAGTATGAGCGGGAAAGCATAAGTTGTTGAAGTTTCGTTAAATTATTAGCTCAATAAATATTTGTTAATATTTCTTCTAATGATATAAATAATAGTTCGCTTGCTTCTTCTCTTAATACTAATTTATTTTAATAAGTGCACCAAATACTAATATTATTTCTTGAAGGAAAGAGAAATTGGCAAAGAATGATAATGTGGTCTATTATGTTTATTCCATTATAATATGAAAATAAGGAATTTTTTTTTTTTTCATTCTACATTAGTTTCTGATCAGCATTGTAGAATGTCTTTATTATTATATCAACAAATCAATTTTTTTTTTTGCCCAAAAAAAAAAAAGAGAATTTGATAAATAATGTCAATTTAATATATATGTATATATTAATCTAAGGAACCACCATTGCTTACAATTTCCAACATTTCTTCAACTTTCATTCTTGCTCTATTTAAAGCTTCTCTTGCGGCAGAGAAATTTGTTGGAGGAGGCCTTGAATAATCTTGATATGCTTCACGATATGAGGAGGTTGAAGATATTGAAGAAACGGAAGCTAATGAAGAAGTCGGACGATGACCTTTCTTTTTATTAGGAGGAATTCCAGGTGTGGGATTGCTCTTTGTTCCTCTCGTGGTCGTGGTGGTGGTGGTGGTCTTTACACCTGTTTTCGTAGGTGTTCTTGTTAACGGTTTTGTTGTAGTTGTCGTCCTTGATGTTTTTATACCTGCTTTAGTTGTTGTCGTTGCAGGTTTCTTCTGACCAGCAACAAGAGAAGGCTTCTTGGCAGTATTAACAACAGGTGTGGAACGACCTGTATTCTTGACTCCTTTTTGGACTCCTTTTGGAACTCCTTTTTGAACTCCTCCAACATCAAAATCTCTGTGTCTAAATACATTCATTTGATCAGTTAAATTTCTTAGTGTCATCAAATCAGCCTCTTTAAGCATGTCTGTAAGTATAGCAGATTCTTCTTCTATTGAAGTTCCGTGACTGCTGACACTTGTAGCACGTGACGGTGGACGTGAAGAATAATTTGAATACGTTTGTGGTTTCCTTCCATAACCATCACGCGCTAGGGCAGAATTTTGTGGTTTATAATCACGAGATTGACGTTTACTCGAATAACCTCCAAGGGATTCATCATCATCATCATCCAAATAAAAATTGTTTCTAGAGGCGGTTTGATAATATTTATCTTTTTCATCTTCAAAGTGCCAATTCTTGTGTGAACCTGAAGAAGATTTTGAAGCTATTGAAGGAGAATAATATTGTTCTTTATAAATACGTGGATCCAAACCATTACTTCTTCTCCAACGTAAATCATTGATATCATAACCATTTGGAGTTGCCGGTGAACTCGGCGTTGATACGGAACTTACAGAACTAACACTAGACCGATGACGCAATGCCTCCAAATAAGGAGTCGTTCCGGATAAACCTGTTGGCTCATCATGAACCGAACCCTTATTTGATGAAGAATATGAAAGGTTTCTGGAATGATCAAGGTTATAATATTCTTGATCAGAGGTTTGCACGGGTCGACTATTATATTTAGAGTCATGTTCCTTCTCATAACCATTGTCGTCCCGTCTACGATAATCGTATTCATTTTCTCGACGACGATCATCATAAACAATCTCTCGTTTACGATCGCTATATTTTCTATCGTTACGACCATCCAAATAATCAAGATCCCGCCTGTTACTATTATGTTGTTCACGATCATCATAATAACCCATCGTTGTGGAAGAACGTAACGGGGATTCTTTCCTTGAAGTTGAATTACCATCACGTTTTGAACCATAATAGTCATCATTATGATAATCATGTAATTCCGCGGACGTCATGGGACGGGAGTAATCACGTAAATCTGCAGAAGTGTTCGGACGGTTGCCATTACTATAAGCATCACGATACTCTGTGGTGTTCGAACGTTTGACATCATGATGGTTATCGCGATAATCTGCAGAGGTGGTCGGACGTTTGACATCATAATGATAATCGCGATACTCTGCCGAGGTGGTGGGACGTTTGTCATCATAATGATAGTCGCGAAATTCGGCCGAGGTGGACGGACGTTGTAATGAAGATTTGGCAGTTATCTTGGTTGTTATGCCTCTTATAGATTTAGCATCAGTTACGGTTGGTTGTAACTTATCACGTGAACCAATCTCTAAATTCAAACCTTCCAGCCATTTAAGAGGAGCAGGCAAAGAAGGAGCAGACCAAGAACCTCTTCGCTTTAAAGTATGGTCGACAACCTGACTCTTCTTATTTGCCGCCGTATCTTCTCTTACGGCGGTACCGTATTCCTTCCAGTTTACAAATTCACGTTTATATTCAGTTTCGTAAGGACTTGACAAATCACTCGCAGCTTCCGCTACTTTTAATTGATCATGTAAAGAGTACATTGAATAAGAACGAGATTTTTTGGAAAGGCGATTCGCCTCTAAAGCTACAATCTTTTTCGTTTGATGATCCAGACTTGAGGCAAGTGTTGATTGTCTCGACTAAAAAATAAAAAAAAGGATTAGAATGGCGCAGAATATATAATGGTAACCATAAAAGACAAAACCACTACAATTACCTCCGGAGAATTTTTATTTCGTAAACCATCTTTCCATTTGTCGGCAGCATTATTAGCCGAGAATTTTTCCAATTCTGGATCGAATGCATTGTATTTATTACCGGTACTAATATTATTTTGATTTTGATTGTTATAATTATTATTATTATTATTATTATTATTATAATTATTATTAATATTGCTAGTGATATTTAGGTCCGCTAATTTTGATCCTATATAATCAATAGCATTACTAGTAGGTGCATTCATCGTATTTGATTTAGACGATGATTTTACTGGTTCGGGAGTGTTACATGACTCTTGTGGTATGGGGGAGGGGGCAACAGGTGCAGGTGATGGAGCGGGTGGTGTAGCGGGAGGAGTATCGTTTTTCCATGTAAATTCACGTTGATATTCGGATTTCGTTCGTTCTTTTGGTCTATGTACTGAGACCATTGGCAGCTTCCAAGAATAATTTCTCTGATATTCACTAGTATTATTATTATCCGGAGGAACAGTTGGAGGGGTTATTGTGGTGGTTGTGGTATTTGCACTTGTCGTGGTAGTGGTATTTGTTTGCGTTATCGGAGGCGTTACATCCTTCGTCATATTTTTTATTTTTTTTATTAATTATGTTATAAAATAATGTCTATGATAATTTTTATTTTCTCGAAAGAGAAGATTTTGACCCCTGAAAGTTAAATGATATGATTTCTACTATTCAAAGTATTCTTTTCTGTAAATTGGAAATTTTTCTTTTCTTTCTATTGTTCTCGAGACTTTTTTTTTTTAAAAAAAAAAAAAAAAAGAAAAGTCTTTTCAAGTAAGTTTTCTTTTTTGAAACTATTTTGGTTTCTTTTTTTTTTTTTTTCAGAAATAAAAATTTTTTTTTTGGTGATGTAAAAAAGTTGGTATCTATATATATAATATATTAAAAAAAAAAGCTGGTTTATTTAATCTATGTTATCCTTTTTTTTTTTTTTTTTTTATTCTGATATAAAGTATCAGTATAAAATATATAAAGGGATAAAAAAAAAATTAGGTAATAAGGGGGAAAGGATGGGAATAAACAGTAAAAAAGGGGGAATTTATTAAACTACCACCTCTTTGATCTTTGAACGATGACTCCACAGGGTATATAGTACACAGTTATTTTCTTTTAAAATAAAATAAAAATAAAAATAAAATAAAATAAAATTATAAAAATAAGAGGAAAACAAGTGAAAAAATCTTTTTATTTATATGTGTGTATTCAGCGAAAGAGGGAGAAAAAAAAAAATTATTATTTTATAATGTTATTCTTTTTTCGTATAAATGATATAAAAGTGAGAGGTAGAGATTTTTTTAATTTTTCTCTTTTTCAGAGAGAGGTTCAGATATTCTAGGTCAAGTGGGGGTTAAATTGAGCTCGAATTCGGCATGAATATGTGAAGATCGTTTAACAAGCACAAGAATTATTAAGTTACCCAAGTTGTGTGGTTTACCTTTTTTATCCTTTTTTTTTTATCCTTTTCATTTTTTTATATGGTTTACATTAGGACTTGAATGATATCATTTCGTGGTTTCACATGAAGTGACATTCTGGAAACACAATTTCATTTTCAGTCTTCCGCATATTGCGTCCAATGCATTCTAACGATTACATTTCAACGCCTCCTTGCTTGATGCAATTGGAGCGTGACTGCGCCTCTTCTTTGTTGGGACGAGAATATCAACCAACTTCCTTTGTTCAAAAAAAAAAAATTTCATTTCTCATCTGGTATAAAAATCAACGGTCCAGTTTGGTAAAAAACGATTCGATGTTGAAATATTTTTTTTTATCTCAAAGAAAAAACCGTTATCAAGGGAAAAAAGGAAATTAATAATGTCTAAAAAAAAAAAAGAAATAAAATGTAACAATGTAACAATGTTTTTATTTTAAGTTAACAATGACTCTTATTTTCTTTTTTTTTTTTTTTTTTTTCTCTCCTCCTTCCGCAATTCGGAGTGTTCATCAGCAACGCGCACAAATTACACCAATTGATTTGAGTTTCAAACATATTTATATTGTATAGTATATATTTTAACCAACGAATTGACGTATGCAAATAAAAATACATGTCAACTCGACAAATATTTACTCCGTCACTTGGATTGGATACTAGGTGAACGATCTGATAAGATAAGAACGTGAATGTGTCGCAGTTAATGTTGGTGTAGGTGGAATATCGAACTATTTGACTTTTAAAATTTGTAGAGGAAAAAAAGTTATCCTTTGCGGTTAAAAAAATTAAAAAGAAAAAAAAATTGTATAAGGTCATACAAAATTGATCAAAATTGATCATGAGTTAAACGAAATACTACCCTTTTACGCCATATTAGCCAAATTATGATGATCCTTTCCCTTGACAAAAAGTCAAAAAAGTACATTGACGATGGATGTTAAGATGTTGATTCAAGTCTCCCTTTGAGAAGTCAAGAATAATGTAAATAAAAAAAAACAATGAGTCGATCACACATTATCATCCCCTTATCATTATCATTATGATAATTTGATAAAATTTGACCAAATCAAATTAAATCTTAAGTCGGAGAGGAAAAAAAATTTATTAAGTTCTTATCTTTTTAGGTAAATTTAGGAGAGTTTCATATAACGTTTTATAAAAAAAAAAATAAAAAAATAAAAAAACAAAAACAAATAAATAAATAAAGCCATTCGTTTCGAAACCATTCCCGTCATGTTTTTTTTTCTTTGGGATAAAAAAAGAAAAAGATGAATTTTAACAATAGACATGAATTACAATGTCATGATATCACTATTATCCTTCTTTTTTCCAAATTTATAAGTAGTGAATTGTATGGTTGATATGAAGTATAAACAAATAAACTCGTTTTCGGCACGATTTTTTCTTTAAAAATTAATATTAAAGCCCAAGGAATAAAAAATTTTTGGGCTTTGATAGAAGGGAAAGAATGGACATGTTACAAATATATTGTTCTTTTGTTTTTTTGTTTTTTTCTTATCCTTCCAAATAAATAAACAAATAATGAAAACTAGATTTTTTCTATTTCTAGTGTCCATTTAATCAATGGTCATACCATAAAACTGATTATGCCATAATTAGAACTTAAATAAATGTAGGATGATTCTATACCAAATTAATCGGATTGACTGATTTCCTGAAGCACTGACTTTTAAGAAAAAGTTAAAATACATTATATATATATTATTAGGGTAAAATCGGCAAATAACAAAAATGCAAAGTTGTTTGCAAATAAACAATAAACAAATAAGAACGCAAGACGGACCAACGAATTAAAATATCATTTCTTATTTATCATTGGAAATTTGGTTGCCCACCGTCTAAACCGAAAGAGTTTACCTGCAAGGGCTTTTTTTTTGTTAAGGTAAAATCCTCCTTCTGTTGGTTTTCTCTAACCCTTTGTTGACTCATCAACTCATCGTCTAATCCTTCCGATTTATAGGATGTTTCTTGTTTTGATTCTTCCATTTAACTTTATCGATGTTCGGTGTCACGCTACTCAATGGGACCACACATTCTCCCGCCAAATTCTTTTTCCTGTAACGGAAAAAAAAAAATTCGAGCGCACAAAGGGTACCAATACGTGTTGGGAATTCAAGGTTCAACTTTTTGACAAAAAAACCTTTATTTAAAATAGGTAAAGTGTATGTTAAAAAAAAAAAAGTCCAAACTTTAATAAGAAGTAAATTAAAGTTCAATACTATAAAATAAAGTTATGATATTCTGTTAAAATAACTTGATGGGATCATTATGGCTGTGTTGCTCCTATTGGCTTAGTTGTGTTTTTTTTCATTGGATGGAATGTTTATACCGTATTTGGACATGGTGAGAAATTAGAGTACAATGTGAATAAAATGGTTCATTAATCAAATTGTGTAAAAAAATTTTTTTTGTTTCATTTTTGAGATAAGTCATCCTCTGATAAGGTTTAATGAGGTAAATAAAAAAAAAATTAGCCATGCCATATGGTTCGACAAAAAAAAAAAAAATCTTCTTTTTTTTTCTTAAAAAAAAAACCTTATTTAAAAAGATTTTTTATTTTTAAGGCAAATATTCTTTTTACGCCAAAAAAAAGATCGAATGAAACTCTTGCCTGCCCCGTGATGATTCTCATTATCCCATTATCCGATTCATATCGTAATTCATTAGGCTTGGCTACGCATAAACGCGACATTTCGCATACAGGTAACATATGAAAGGAAAAATAGTACGGTTTTTCCTATTTGACAAGATCATTCGTTTCTCTCGTAATCGAAAAAGGTTCATTCTTGGCGTTTGGCGAAGGAAAAAAAATTAAATAAAATTTTGATAAGGAAAGTTATACATAACCTCATTTAAGGAAAATCGAATCAAAAGCCGGGTCGGGAAAGGCCATTGTATTTAAAAAAAAAAAAAAAAAAAAAATAATGCATCATTTTTGAATAAAGAATATCTGGTTTTATTTAATTATTATAATTTACTTTATTTGTTCTCATTGAAAGAATTTTTTTTTTTTTTCCAGTGCTTTAGTAATTAATCTATGCAGTAAATCGTCATTCATGTAAGCAAATTCATTAATTAGGCTGAAATCTCAATGGCAAGAATCTTTGATTTTGAATATTTCTCGATCCTTCGGAATAAATACCATTTTATACCATTTGGGTCTTACAAATTTCTCAATAAAATTTGTTGATAAAATCACACGTGATCGCATCAAAAAATCCGATCCGTTAAAATTTTTTTAAAATATTTTTTTTTTTTCACCGATCAAATCGACAAAAAATAAAATTTCTTTCAAAAGGATGCAAGACATTATAGACACAAAAAGCAATAATGTCACCACCAATAATGGAGTTTCTTATAACGTATCAGATCTCTTGACGAAAATCTCTTCGTTGATAGATACTTGTGATTATCAATTAGCGTTTCAATTTGCCAAAAGAGCCTTAAGCATGGAGCAAGATAATGTGCAGGTTTTGGAGATTTTAGGAATGGTGGAAATTGAATTGGGAATGTTTGATGAAGCGAGAGAGGTAAGGTTTTACGAGTGCATTTTTTTTGTTTTTTCCTTTTTGAAAAAAGAAAAAGACAATAGATAGATATGTGTGATATTACATTTGGAAATCGAAGTTGGGAGGCGGTGTTTTGAATTATCAAATTCATTATTTTTAATTAGTGAACTTTTTTTCTTTTCGATATCATTTTGTATATAGATATAGATAATAGTAATTTTTAATAAAAAAAAAATCATCTTTAATTAATTGATTATCATTATCATTACAATTATGATTCTCCCTCTCTTTTTTTTTTTCATTCTTATTACTATCTTCGATTCCAGCATTTTTCTAAAGCCATTTCAATAAATCCAGATCAAGGATATTCAAAATATATGTATATGGGTCAATTGTCCGAGAGCTTGGATGCGATTTCTTGCTTTCAAAAGGGTGTCGATTTAATGATATCAGAATATACATCAACCGCAACAAAAATTGACGAAGGATCTGATAAGCATCAATTAGCTCGAAAAATTTCTAGCGCTTTATGTTCAATGACCGAAATTTATTTGACTGATTGTTGGTAAATATTGTTGTCTTATCAAAAATTTTAGAACTGGCCCCTATTTATATATAATGATTTTTTTTTTTTTTCTCTTTCTACCTTTATTTTTTTAGTTTTGAAGAAGACGCAGAACAAAAATGTGAGGAATATTTAAGTAAAGCCTTAGAGATAGATCCATTGAATCCCGAAGTTTATCAATTGCTAGCCTCTGTTAGATTGTCTCAACAGAGAAACGATGATGCTAAAATTAATTTAGAAAAGAGTCTCAATTTATGGATCAATTTAGATCCAGGTTTGTGTACTTTATGTAAAGAACTCGAAACTCTTTTTTTTTTAAAAAATAATTCATTTAATTTCATTTTTTTGTCCCCACCAAAAATTAAGGACATTCTTCAATACCTTCGTATGAATCGCGTATTTCCCTGGTCAAATTATTAATTGAACTTTCTCAATACACCCAAGCATTAAATATACTCGAACTTTTACAAAAAGAAGATGATGAAATACTAGAGTTATGGTATTTATATGGTTGGTGTTACTTTCTTATGGGCCAAGACTCACAAAATGAACAAGATCATTTAACACATTTTGATGACGCTCGTGATTGTTTGATTAATTGCGAAAAGGTATTTTAAATAATTACTTTATTAATTTTATTAATGTTTCAACCTTTTTTTTTGTAATCATCTCAATTATCCCCACACTCTGCTTTACAAACTTCGATGCTAACTGCGCTTTCTCTCCTTTCTCTATAATAACCACTAATCCATACCCACATTCTCCCTTACATCTGTAATGACTAAAAAAAAAAACTTATCTAGTTATATCATAAAACTGATTCGGAAGATGAAGGCATTTTACAACATACACGAGAACTCTTACAAACCATTAACGCCCTTGTAAAACCTTCATCCGCATCAGAAGACGAAGAGGATGATGCTAATGAAATTAATGATGATGATGATGATGAGAATGATGCCGATGAGTGGGATAACTTCCACGCTAATCATAATAATCATTATAATGGTGACCATCAAATGGAAATGTAAGAAAAAGTATATGTATATATAAAAAAAAAAAAAAAAAAAAAAAAAAAAAAAAAAAAAAAATAAAGAAAAAAAAAAAAAAAAAAAAAAAAAAAAAAATGAATCTATCAGATGAAAATATGCGATGAAGAAAAAAAAAAATTAAAAATTTAAAGAAACTGTAAGCGATGTTCAGATTTTTGCCAAGATAACGAAAAAAAGAAATGAAAAAGAAAAATGCCTATTTTTGTCATAACTTAAGAAAAAAATTTTTTGCCATATATTTGCCATAGGATAAAGAAACAATTTTTGGAAACCAGTGAAAAAAAAAAAAGAAACAAATGATGAGAAAAAAAGAAAGCAAACTTAGAAAATTAATGATATATAATTAAAAATTAATAAAATTTTTTATATAAAGTATTACTAAAGTAAAAAAGTGTAATATAACGAGTTAGGGTAGGAAAAAATGCATATGAATGATGAATAAATTGATTTTTTAATGCGTGAAAAATTCTATACTTTAAAAAAAAATGCTTGGGACGTAATGGTTTGAAAAGTTTTGATTCATCTATTTTATTAAAGAATGGGAATAAATGATGGTATATACAAAAAAAAGGGGGAGAAGGGGACGAGATTTGATTCTGAAAAACAATTCACGGATGAAAAAGGTCCAGCCGAATTCTATTCCCGCCTTTTTTTTTTTTTTTTTTTTTGGAGAAAATCGAATTATGTATTGAAGAAAAAAATTTTTTAGAAAAATAAAAAAATTTTACAAGAAAAAAAGTTTTGTGCGAATAAACATGAAAAAAACGTAAAATGTGTGTAAAAAAATTGCGACGAATATGCGTCTTTGTTCCCACCCTAAAGCAAGACTTTGAAATAAAACGAATTAATAATAATAAATTTTTAAACGGAAATTAAATTATCATTAAATATTATTTAACGAAAAAAAAAGTGGTTCATAAAGTTATTCAGTTTAATAACTTCGAAGAGCGCCAGCCGGGCTAAGCATTTTATAACCCTCAACTTCACCATCGTATCTGGTTTTCTTTACTGGTCTTCCCAATCGATGAACTCGAAGATGACGACGCATATTGCTTTGAACAGAGAATTTTCTTCCGCAACCTGGTTCCGTGCAAACGAACGGTTTCTCACCGGTGTGTGAATAAGTGTGAATTCGAAGTGAACTTGGACGAGAGAATCGTTTAGAACAATATGGGCATTGATAACGATTTCCACTTGAAGAACCGGTTGGCGATAATTGATCAACGATGCTCTTGTGAGGAAAGTGTTTTTGAGAGGCCAAACTTTCCAAGACCGTGTTCAAACGTGGAAGGGAAGGAGCGGTGGGCTTACAATCATAAGGGGAAATTTGCGTTATGGAATTTGGGTAGTAAGAGTATCTTTGAGGTTGAGGTTGAGCGTAAGAAATCGATGATG